GAAAAAAAGCTCTGGCTTTAGGTAGGATACCTAGACAGGTGGGTTCCTTTGTGTTTAAATTAAGGAAAGGATGTTTACTGGGAGCTGCCAGGAACTTAAGGAAAGTACTTGGTGTTTTATACACATTGTTTTACACAGTTCCAGAGATATACTCACAGGATTTGGAAAATTAAAAAAAAAATGTTTTCAATGACATAACTTTAAACTTGAATTCAGCATGGGACCAGTCCATCTGTAGTGCCTAGCTAATACTTAATACAAATCCTATACTCCTAGTAGCCCACATATTCTGCTATATTTGTGTATGAGACATGAATTAGTTAAATATAAATAATTTAAAACATACCATGATTTTTGTAATCATGTCTTGGTATTTGTCTCCTCTTCTTCCTCCTCCTCTTTCTTCTTCTTCTTCATCCTAGGAACCCTAAAAATGTTACCTGTTTCTCTCTGGATTTCTGAGAGGCCCTGGGAACTGCTGATTAAATTAATATTCTTTTCTTACTTTGACAGTCCAAAGTCCAGATAGTTGAAGTACTGTGCACAGAACTAGTTAATGCTGCCCCATGCATTTGTGGCTTTAGGGCAGCATGCTCTCCTTGCTCTCAAGTCCCCATCTTATCAGGGCAGTTTATTTTTCTAACAAATTTTTTCTCTTCTGCTTCTTCTTATGTTCTTCACTCAGGTTGACAAGAAGTAAAATTCAGGAACTTTGTTAGGAAAAGGTGTAACTTAAGCTATAATTGGTCAACATTAGGAAGACAAAGGTTTGTTAGATACTCTGCTCTGAAGAATGTATGTAGGGACCTAATCCTACCTACTCAAAAGAGCCATTCCTCTGTAATCAGTCAGCAACCTTCTTAATGGAGGAGGTGGGAATCTAAGGCAGAGGTCAGAAGGACAAAAAAAGAGGAACCTGAGAGGAGATAAATTCAACCTCCATCTGAACTGTGCCCACTAAATTGATTTGATGTTAAAAGTTCCCAATATGTGTTCATGATCCTTACTAATAAAATATTAGTAAGATTATTTTCTTTCTGCTAATGGACAAGACTAATTGTCTTTCAGATGTTGTGGGGTGAAGTAACTTATTTTAGGATAAATTGAATACTATGAGTTGCTAGAGAAAGTCTTCTGATACATTTGTGGCAATCAGAAATCCATTATAGTTTATAAATCAGAACTTGCCTATTGGACTATTGGATGGGTTATGGCCCAATCCTCCAACTAGTATAGTTTCAGATGGTGCTCACATTCTAAGATTGGTAGCTACTGAACATTCCCATATTCTGGTCGTTTTGTCACTGACAATATCCAAATACGATAAACTAAAACAGCTCATTAAAACTCAACTCTCTGTGAGTGCCTTTGATGGAAATATCAAAAAAGCATGTGTACCAGTACTGTCAAACCCAGCAGGGATCTAAGGAACAGCATTATATACAGGTTTATCACACAGTATTTCTCATTAAAACACTAAGCAAAAATATTTTAACCTTTTTTTTAATTTTCAACAAATTAAACATTTACAACATTGTTACAACTGAGAACACACCGGCAACACAGTGATTTTCAACAGAGTAAATTTAGTAAGGATTGTTTTGCGGAAGAAAACAAAATGTGAGTACATTTTGTATTCCATAGCATTGCTCTGTGGAAGATTAGCTGGCATCCTGTAAAAAAAGAAAAATTGAATTAGATTTTAGTGTAAATGACCACATGATTGTGTGTATATAATGTTTACATATAGACATTTCTATAAATATTTTGTCATAGAATGATAACATTAGCATGAGATATTTCCCAGCTGTTCTTCTGTGTGTGTGTGTGTGTGTGTATTTTTTTTTTTTTTTTTTTTTTGAGACAGAGGCTTTCTCTGTTGCCCAGGTCGGAGTGCAGTGGCATGATTTCGGCTCACCACAGCCTCAACTTCCCTGGTTCAAGCAATTCTCCTGCCTCATCCTCCCAAATAGCTGGATTACAGGAATGCAACACCATGCCTGGCTAATTTTTGTATTTTTTTAGTAGAGACAGGGTTTCACCATGTTGGTCAGGCTGGTCTTGAACTCCTGACCTCTAGTGATTTGCCACCTTGGCCTCCCAAAGTAATGGGATTGCCGGCATGAGCCACTGCACCCAGCCTGTCTGTTTAACTACATATCATTTAATCTATCTCTAATGGAACACTTATTCTGTATGTCTGTGTCTTCCAACAATTTACAGTATTTAACTATATAAAAGTGGTTTCCTAAAGCTCATTAATGCCAATAAGATCTATAAATAAGCTGTTTCAAAAGCTGCATTTACTCCTTGTATATCTATTTCCTCATATTTTTGCAACTAAATCATCATCCTATTTTATGCTTAACCATTTTCTAAATAAATATAGGTCGTCAGGATAAAGAAAGGCCTTAGAAAATCAGACGAGAAAAACACACAAAAAAGATAATTATATTGTTTCTCTATTGACAAAATAAAATGAAATCATGAGTACATTAGTTTATGTACACCCTAATCTTGCAAATAATCTGAATAAAGCAATTCTTCTCAATTTTGGAGATTTTCTTTTACTAAATTCATCAAATCATGGACTTAATTCCATTTCACATTAACACTCTAATACTTGCTTTAATGTTACAATCACAGGTGTTTTTTCCCATTTAGTATTAAGCTATTTTTAAAATTTTATAAATGCCGATGTACATTTATACTATTATAAAAGATAAAATAGTTTCTTTTCCATTAGCTTTGTTCTTTGTTCTTTGAAAAAATGCAAAATTAAGAGTATGTTTTCTCAGATTCCTCATGTGACCATAATTTATCAGGCCTCTTCTGAAGCAGGAGTTAATAAGAAACACAGTTTGCAAATAAAAGTTCCTAATTATGTCCCATAGGCACATTAAATTTTTCCTTCACTTTTCCACTATTTGAATCCTTTATTCTTTCTTGTCTAATTGAATTGGTTAACACATTAAGAACGACATTAAATAAGAAATGAAAGAGTATCTTTATCTTGTTCCTGACCTTAACGGAAATGCTGCAAAGTGATTCACTAACAAGCCAGCGACTGTACTAACCTGGTTTGAGACTGTTATATAAATAATGGCAAGAAAGGATTAATCTTTTCCTATAGGATCTTCTTTTAATAGAACAGAAATTGATGTGAAATTTTACCAAAAGCATCTATTGAAATTATCAGATAATTTTTCTTCTAATAGTGAAAATTTTTAACACACTTCTTAACACTGAACCATCCTTGAGTTGCTGGAACAAATCTTACTTAGTGGGGTCATAAAATTATTTAAGTATACTGATAAATACTATTTAATAATATTCCTTTAAAAATTTTACCTTAATATTTATAAACACAATTGACTCATAGTTTCATTTTTTTATACTATTTTTTAAGTTTTGGTATTAATATTATACTGGTTTCATAAAAACATTTGGTGATTTTTCTTCTTTCTCTGAGCCGAAAAAATTCAAAATTATTGGCTTAGTACTTTTTGAGGTTATAGTTTCTAGATAACATTTTCCATTTTTTCCCATAGCTGTTACCCTGTTTAGTGTTTTTCTTTCTTCTGAGGTCAATTTTGGTAGCACCTACTTTATTAGACAATCCTCCATTTTCTCCAGGTTTCCAAACTGTTATGTACAGAGATGTGTAAAGTACTCTTTTGTGTTTTTTATTTCTTCTCTGTTTTAATTTCTCTTTTCATTTGTACTTTTCTATATTTATGATTTTGCCATTTTTCTTGATTACACTAGGCTAATTTATTTCATTTTTTGTAAATAATTACTAATAGATTTTTGCTTTGTTCATTGTCCTTCTATTACTATTTTTTAACATCAATTTCTTCTTTTGTTTCTGTAACTTTCTTCCTTTTGCCTTCTTGAAGTTCACTTTGTTGTTGTTTTGGTTTAGTTTTTTTGAGATAAGTTATTGCTCTATGGCCTAGGCTAGAGTGCAGAGGAAAGATCATAGCTCACAGCCTCAAACTTTCAGGCTCAAGCGATCCTCCCATCTCAGCCTCTGATGTAGCTAGGACTACAGGCATGCACCACCACACCTGGCTAATTTTTTTCTTAAATTTTTGTAGCAATGAGGTCTCAAAATCCTGTGCTCAAGTTATCCTCATGTCCTAGCCTCCCATAGGGGATTACAGGCATGAGCCACTGTGCCGAGTCTAAAATGAGTGATATATTTAAAAAAATATGTTCAGCATAGAAACTAGATTTAAAATTACAAAAGGTTATTAGAATACACTTTATTTCTGTGCTATAAGTTTATCAATCTGCATTCAAGTTTAACTTCAACAGTTATTGTTTAATACAATACTCGGATTAACATATTTATTAAACCTGGGAACAGTCGACAGCTACTAAATTTCTACTGTATGTCCAGCACTGAGGTAGAAATTCTGGCAGTACAAAAGAAGTCATTCTCTCATGTCTTTCCACATTTAAAAAAATTATCTAGAAACTGGTGAATCACCAGCTTTTCTAAAGAATCTTTGAGTATCAGTTATTTAGACGACAGAAGTATATTTGGTCTGTAAATCTTGGCCCATTGTGGTAGACACTGATTACTATGATAAGAATTCATTCCTTGACATATGTTACTTGCACAATAAATGATGATAAGATCAATGTCTACAAAATTACTTACGAAGATTGCTATTGTAACATAGTCTAAGAAATAAATGACATGGGCAAAGTGAATGAGGCCTAAAATACTGGTATTTTCTTATTACCATAAAGCCCTTACAGCTCCTATTATTGTGGTATTTACATGCATATGCAATCAAATAATAGAAATATATTTAGCATAGTTTAATTTGTGACTATTTGAAAACAACAGAAAATTTCAAACTGGGTTGAACTGTGAAATGCATACCATTTATTTATTTATCACATACCATTTTAAATGAAGCCTGTTGACCTTCTTCCATTCCGTGGCTGAAAAATAATAGATTAGAAATAAATCAGCATAACTAAAGATGGAAGCTAATATTCATAGAAACAGCACTGATAATTTAGAGGAGTGTTTAATGTGCATCAGAATAATCTACGGGGCTTTCATCACATATACTGCTGGACCCCATAACCACAGTTTCTGATTTAGTAAGCCTGACAACCCTAAAATTTGTATTTCTAACAAGTTCTGAGGCGCTGCTAATGCTGCAAAAACCACCATGAATTAGATGCTATTTGACTTTGCTTATTTCCTTGATGGTACCAACATTTTAAAACAAATGTTCTCAATTTTAATTTGATATGAACTTACTGAAGTCAGTTTAGTTCTTACTCCGTCCTGTTATCAGTTCAATTCCTTCATTCAATCCATTCTCTAATTTGCTGTTAGAATTATTTTCCAAAAGGCAAATCTTACCCCATTTGCCCCCTCCTTAGCCTTCAAAGTTGAAATTTCTTAGTTAAATATTTCATCAACCAATTCCCATTGATTCTTCAGGATTCAGCCAATGAAGTCTTCCCTGTACCTCTTCCATTTTCCAGCTGGAGCAAAATGCTTTTCTTTTGGAAACCACAGCCCTTGGATCAAAAGTGCATTTCACACACTGCTTTATATTTGTTTACTTATCTGTTTTCTCTGAGAGCCTATCTAAACTACTAGAGCATAGGGATGGAATTCTACCTGTCTTTATAGTCCCAGCCCTTGGTACATTGCTCAGCACCCAGTAGAAGTTCAATAAATAGTTGTTTAAATAATTAATTACAACTTTATGGTAATGTATAAAGGATCCAAACGTTTTACAAAGTGGAGCTGCCTTAAAAAAAAACTCACATTTTATAGACAATGTGGACAAACAAAATCAGAAATGTAATCCTGAAATTCTGTCTACTTATATACCTTTTATTGTAGTTGAGTATTTTAATTTTAAGAATTCGTGAAAATAGTCATAACTCTTCCAAACTACTGAGTTAAAAATTTTGTAGAGCCCCTGACTTGGCCTCGGCCCAGGTACAACGTGGACTCCAAAACCAACATCTCCAAACCGGATTTCCTGGGACAAGCGTTCCTGGCCCTGGGAGAGGTGATTGGAGGCCAGGGCAGCCACATAGAGCGAACCCTCACGGGTGTAGCAGGCAAGAAGTGTGGGACCATATTGCTGACTGCAGAAGAGCTTAGCAATTGTCAGGACATTGCCACCATGCTGCTGTGTGCCAACAAGCTGGACAAGAAGGACTTCTTTGGGAAATCAGACCCCTTCCTTGTGTTCTACAGGAGCAATGAAGATAGCACATTCACCATCTGCCACAAGACAGAGGTTGTGAAAAACACACTGAATCCTGTGTGGCAGCCCTTCAGCATCCCTGTGCGGGCTCTGTACCATGGAGACTATGACAGAACAGTGAAGACTGATGTGTACGACTGGGACCGGAATGGAAGCCACGATTTCACTGGGGAGTTCACCACCAGCTACCGGGAGCTCAGCAAGGCCCAGAACCAGTTCACAGTAAATGAGGTACTTAACCCTCGGAAGAAATGTAAGAAGAAGAAATATGTCAACTCGGGAACTGTGACGCTGCTCTCCTTCTCTGTGGACTCTGAGTTCACTTTTGTTGATTACATCAAGGGAGGGACACAGCTGAACTTCACAGTAGCTATTGACTTTACAGCTTCCAATGGGAATCCTCTGCAATCTATCTCCCTGCACTACATGAGTCCCTACCAGCTCAGCGCCTATGCCATGGCCCTCAAGGCAGTGGGAGAGATCATCCAGGACTATGACAGTGACAAGCTCTTCCCAGCTTATGGCTTTGGAGCCAAGCTGCCCCCAGAGGGACGGATCTCCCACCAGTTCCCCCTGAACAACAATGATGAGGACCCCAACTGTGCGGGCATTGAGGGTGTGTTGGAGAGCTATTTCCAGAGCCTGCACACAGTGCAGCTCTATGGGCCCACCTACTTTGCTCCTGTCATCAACCAAGTGGCCAGGGCTGCAGCCAAGATCTCTGATGGTTCCCAGTACTATGTTCTGCTCATCATCGCTGATGGAGTCATCTCTGACATGACGCAGACCAAGGAGGCCATCGTCAGCACCTCCTCACTGCCCATGTCTATCATTATCGTCGGTGTAGGACCAGCCAAGTTTGAGGCAATGGAAGAGTTGGATGGTGATGATATGCGTGTGTCCTCTGGGGGATGCTACGCAGAGCGGGACATCGTTCAGTTCGTCCCATTCCGAGACTATGTGGACCAGTTGGGGAACCAGGTGTTGAGCATGGCCCGACTGACCAAGGATGAGCTGGCTGAGATCCCGGAGCAGTTGCTGTCCTGTATGCGTACCAGAGACATCCAGCCTCGGCCCCCACCCCCTGTCAACCACAGCCCGACTCCAGCTCCAGAGCAGCCCTGAGGATTCCACATATCCAATGCCTCACAGCCTGCTCACCTGCTCACCCACTGCTTCTGCTTTAAGTCAGAGGCACCTGGAACCCTGGACCTCACTGGGAGGGCCAACTTGGAGGATTAGTGCTGGCTGACAAGCACTCCGCCTCCTTGCCTGCAGAAGGGCCTGGCACTATCACCACCTCCCTGCCTTCATGCCAATAATAAAGCTGATCTTTACTCAAAAAAAAAAAAATTTTGTAAATAATTTCACAGAACATAAGGAATAGTGTATCTTTAAGACACTTATTTTCTATACATCAAATGTCAGGGAATTAAACTGTCTAACAGGTGAATGTTATTTGAGGTATTTAAACATGAGCAATAGATCAAAGAAGAGATCAGAGATACTGTGGTATTGAAGCAATAAGGTGGTGACAGAAGTGAATATCAGACTTTAACACCTGATGCCAAATATCTATAAACTTTAACATTGAATTGAAACTTAAAGTTAATTAAATACACAGTGAAAGTGTTTTTCAATTTTGATGTAGACTGATTTAAAAAAAAAATACAGTATGTACCTACCCTGAATAAAAAATATCCTCGACTTTGACTTGCAAAGGGACTTTGGAATTCTTCCTAGAAGAGAAAAGGAAGCCATTACAAATCAACTAACACTAAAAATAAGTGCAAATTCTCCTTGAAAGTACCTTAAGGGTCAAAATTACTTTCAATTATCATAACTAAACATAGAGGGAATCAGGGACTTGAATACAGAATTTTTGTATTATACCTGAAAATTTTCAACAATTAGCAGTATCATTGGAAATGTATATCTAAAAATAATTTCCTTATCAGTGTGACAGATTCTCCTTTCAGGAATTTTGTCAGTTGTCTGTGTATTCATCAATAAGTAGAAAGAGAAATGACAGACACTTCATAATTGACTATATTTAAAATCTCCTTTCGGCATTTTGTTAGAATGAAATAATTTCTTTAAAATACATATTGTATGTGTTAACACGTGAACAGGGAAAAATATAAAACAGAATTGTGTCAAAGCTAAAAAATATTATACAATATTTCTGCAGAAATGTAGTTTAAAATTGAGGGACAATTTTGGTAAGCTATGTTTATTCAATGAAGCTTTAGGAGACATGTTCCTGATATAATTATATGTGCAGAATGTTAATTTTTAAATTCCCAACTATTAATAGGAACGACCCAATTATTCATAAGTATATATTTTTCTCAAACATTTCATTTTAAACTTCATGAAAAAATATATTAACATTTTATGGTTTCCATAAAATTGGCTTATCGCTTCCTATTTTCATTAATAATGACCTATATTATAAAAGCACTATCAGCATGAAGTCTTTCAGCTAAGACCTTTTTCAACTATTCTATAATATGAACACAATCATATTAAATTATAAGAAATGGATCTGCTATATGATTAAATTCTGAGATACTTAGTTTGCAACAAATATATCTTAAATTCTCAATATTTATATTTGATTTTCATCTTTACTATAACTCCCCAAATTACTTAAGATTGAAAAAAATCTGTATTTAAAAATGTACACATTGTATACATGTATTGAAATATCATGTGTACCCCCAAATTATGTATAACTATAATATACCAGTGAAAAATAATACAGTTTTTTTAAGTTTTCAAAATTTAAAAAGATGTACACATATAAACCATATGCTTATATACCTATATAAGCAATGTCCTCAGCTGAGCACAGTGGCTCATGCCTGTAATCTGAGCACTTTAGGAGGCTGAGGCCAAGGCAGGCAGATCACCTGAGGTCAGGAGTTTGAGACAAGCCTGTCCAACACGATGAAACCCCATCTCTACTAAAAATACCAAAAAAAAAAAATTTAGCTGGGCATGGTGATGGCACCCATAACCCCAGATACTCGGGAGGCTGAGGAAGGAGAATCATTTGAACCGGGGAGAAGTTGCAGTGAGCTGAGATCATGCCACTACACTCCAGCCTGGGCAACAGAGCAAGACTCCATCTCCAAAAAAACAAAAAAAAAAGTTGAAATCAGATCAAAATTTTCCTTAATTTCAATCTCATATTTAATTTATTCTTAAAATGCTACCCAAACTTTTCAGATACTTTAAAAAATGCATAGAGTTTAGGTGAATACATTCCTCAAAATGTATTTTTATTGCTATCCTAGCTACTCGCCAAACTGGATACAGAAGGGCAATACATTATCCTTTATTTGTTCTCTTATTTCTACCTAAGGACTGGACACAAGCAGTATCCTTCCTTAAACAAAGAATAGGTTTCTCCCCAGGAGAGTAATGGCTCTTGGAAAAGAGTGTAATTCCAGCTTTCCTCAATGTCCACAGCTTCAACTAGAAGGGACACAATATGGCAGAGGGCTGGGGAGGGCAGCTTGAACAATTCTCAAGTGTGAAAACTACTCTGCAAACAAATGCTTTTACATTGGCTAACGGGGTATTAGTGTGGGCTTATCCTAAAGAGCAGTATTTGATGAAATGCCACAGCTGGGAATTAAGAGAAAGGGCTGCCCCACACGGAATGGCAAAGCCAGCATGCAGTTTGTGTTACATACGTCCAATCCGAATCTCTTCATTCTTCTCTCATGCAGGCGAGGAACGAGCTGCAGCAACGGATGCACGACAGAAGACTGAGAGGACATGAACACACAGGCAGTGAGCACACGGCTTCTCAGCACTGGCCAGCAAGACGGCTTCCTATTTGTTTGTTTGTTTTTTTAATCGATTAAACTTGTCCCAGACAAAACAGAACATTAAAGATGTCACCTAAAACAGCTCTTTGGAAGCAATTCAAAGAACCGTGGAGAATAAACCAAGAGGTGGGATAAAATTTGGTAGCTCTGCACTGGGATTTTTGTCATCACATTGAAGAAGCACTTTCCCAAGGGCTGCGGCTCTCTTATGAACTGTCAGCCAGTAAAGCTTCTCACTTCCTCTTTGAGAGGCAAAAGGCAGTCTGTCTGCTTCTAGACTTATTCAAAATAATTCAGGCCAGGTGAAACCCACACTGTGAGTAGCAGTTTTCCGCTATAAACATGTTGATCTGGAAGATTATACTTTTTTTAATTGCATTTTAGGTTTTGGGGTACATGTGCAGAACGTGCAACATAGTTGCATAGGTACACACACAGCAGTGTGTTTTTCTGCCTTCCTCCCCTTCACCCACATTTGGCATTTCTCCCCAGGCTATCCCTCCCCATCTCCCCCTCTGCTATCCCTCCCCTATTCCCCCCAATAGACCCCAGTGTGTAGTACCTATACACACATCTAATAATCTCCTTTATAAATTATATACTTAAAACAGAAACATAGGGAGCAAGACAACAATGTATGAAAATGACAATGTGTTCTTGATAGTGAAAACTGTGACTAAGATACATTTTCCCAAAATGTAAAGGTGCCAAGCCAAAGAAAATCAAAGCACACTTGAGACATGTAGCTACCTACCTGATATGGCTGCATTTTTTAAAAAGGTGCGGGTCACGTTGAGACTTCTCATTAATGTTAAATTCATTTATCACATGGATTATGTTAAACCCTGTATAACAGTTATCTGTTAACTAGTTCAACTTCTACTTGGTGTAAAACCAGTATAATCTTTCAACTCCTCATACGTATGAATATTCCATGTGATAAATATTTCAAACTGAGTTTAAGATTACAGTTACCTTTCCACAAGTATGCATTGGTTTAAAATACACTATGTTCCTCATTCCCTAAATGGGTTCATGAATGTGAATCACAAGTGTAGAAACAATATTATAGTCAAATAATTTCTACGTATTCTAGATTGAAACACCAAGTAGGTTGGTTAGCATTTTTAAAACCCATGCATACAAAAAGAAAACTACCACTAATACTACATGATTTTAAAGTGAACTGAATTCAAGTTACTGGTTTTTGGCTAATCTTAGAGAATACATTTTCACATTAAATGCCTAATTACCAATAAGAAGATCTTAGGAATAGAAGAGGATATTTTTAATTATATTTAATTATATTTTTGACAATCATCCTGTAAAATAAAAAAATGCCCTTGGATCAAATGACTTTTTCTTTGCAACAATTGCAATTGGAAATAATATGTTTTACTTACTATTTGCTTTTTATTTTCTTGGCCTTTAGAATGTGTTTCACAAAGGCAGGGATTTCTTTCTTTTTTCTTCTTTTTTTTTTAAACAGAGTCTTACTCTGTCATCCAGGCTGGAGTGCACTCCTGTGATCTCAGCTCACTGCAACCTCCACCTCGCAGGTCCAAGCAATTCTTGTACCTCAGCCTCCCAAGTAAGTGGGACCACAGGCATGCACCACCACACCTGGCTAATTTTTGTGTTTTTAGTAGAGACAGCGTTTTTTTTTTTTTACCATGTTGGCCAGGCTGGTCTTGAATTCTGGACCTTAAGTGATCCACCTGCCTCGGCCTCCAAAGTACTGAGAATACAGGTGTGAGCCACCATGCCTGGCCAGGGATTTCTCTTTTAAATTTTGTCTTATTTATTGCTATATTTCTAGTACCTAGAATTGTGCCTGGCACATAGCACATCACTAATACTCTGTAAATGATTGTTAAATGAATTAATGAATTTAATGTACAAATAGTTATTGACATATAAAACGAATGTATAATGAATACTGAATTTCGTTTCTTTATTCACATATAAACTTTTAAAGTAAAAAATTTGAATTCTGATCTAGCTCAATTATGCTGCAGAAACAGGTTCATTCTTTTAAACAAATTAGTGATTACTAAGAAGTAGTTCTATAACTTACCACAACATTTGACTTGCCCAACTTCTGTGTCTTTGAATAATGAAATAAGAACTGTTTTAAAAAAAGGAACAAATTTTACTACAAAAAATTAGTGGTTTCCTTTATTATCTTATAAGGTATATATTTATGAAATCATCTTACCCTTTTAGTATTATCTTTTTCATCTTGTTCCTATTGAAAAAAGATATTATATATCATTATATATTATAACTTTTACTATCTTAGAAATGGTAATTTTATAATGTTATAGAATTATAACACATAATTTTTTAAAACACATGATTCATATCTTACATATAAAATATAAGACCGAAATTGATAAAAAAGAAAAAAAAGACTGAAATTAGTTAAGCATCCATTGCTCTAAAAATAAATGGGAAATTAATTAAATATTGTTTACAAATAAAGAAGTGCATAAAGAT